CAGACAAAATGATAGAAAATTTTAAACAATGTTATGGCAAATTGCAAGAAATAATAAATCAAGAGGTTTAGAATTATTAATGAAGTGAACACTGTGAATATTTGAGAATGAGGGAACCTGGAATCACTGGAAGATTTGGACTGAATAAACACAATAATGCATGAAATAGGTTAATAGTGTTTTCTAAAAGAAAATAGTTTGTTGGTAATACCTGCTTTAAGCAACATAAATGCAGTTTCTACCACTGGATATCACCAGATGGATAACACTGGAGTTAAATTGGTTTTTTAATAAGAAACAAAAGTCATCCAGTCAACCAGCAGATTTCCAGATGCAGATTGTGTAACAGATTACTGGTACCAAATGCAAAAGTAGTTTAAAATATTAGAGAAGAGGAGGGTCAAACTATTATCCAAAGCACATGAAGGCAGAATAAGAAGCAATGGATGGAAACTCATCAAGGAGAGAACCAAACTAGAACTAAGGAGAAATTTCCTGACAGTTAGAACAATTAGTGGAATGGCTTGCCTTCAGAAGTTGGGGAGTGCTCCAACATTAGAGGTTTTTAAGAGGAGATTGGACAACCATTTGTCTGAAATGGCATAAATTCTCCTGCTTGAGCAGGGGGTTGTACTAGAAGACCTCCAAGATCCCTTCCAACAAAAAAAAAAAAAAAAAGGAGGAGGAGACGACCACCAATAAGATTTGACCTAGAGAGTGATCAATCAAAAAATAAACTCAGTGTAAAGTGCAGATTAAAGATACATTTTATTTAAAGAGAAAAGAGAATCTGAAAACAAATGGGAGAAAGATAGGAAATACTATGAAAGCCAAGGTGGAAAAATATTTCTAAAATTTCAAAGAGGAAAAGATTCAAGTTGCTTTTGATACAGGTTGTTCACAACAGCTAGAGAAAGGTGATGGATTAAAGCTTTAGGTGGGAAGAGAGATGCGCAATGATTTAACAAAAGGATTCAAGGGAAGGAAAAAGGAACAAGGAAAAATAATAAAGAATATCAATAAACAGCAGAAAATAACAAAAGAAAAAGAAAAAAGAAAAAGAAAACATATAAGAAATGTTTTAAGATCAGATAAATCACAAAAAATATTACTAAACTCAAGAGTAAAGCTGAAAGGGAACCAATGGAGGCAAATGATGGTGATAAGAAAATAGGAAATATTTATAAAATGGATAGAATGACAGAAATATGTATTTTATGGAGAAAATCATCACCACTAGAAAATGATGTATCAGAGACTATGCCAGCAGTTAAATAAGCAGATAAAATATTTAAAGAACTATTTAAACTTCAGGAGGAGAGCTTGAAAAATTGTTAGGGTTAGGATAGAGCTGGTAAAAATGGAAAGTGAAAAATCTGGATTAATGTTAAAAATACAGTAGCAATATCCATCAGCATGTTTAGTGAATTTACAGCGGGCAGCAAAAAAAATAAAATGTAGATATTTCAAAGAACAGATAAAGACGGACAATGAAGGGGAAATTAATTCTAAGGAAAAAGGCAATGACAAACTTTGCAAGATTATGAAAGACAGGATATTTCTGTGACCACAAAGATCAGAATAGTTAAAGCATTGCTTTTTTCCAGGAGAACTATACAGCTGTAAAAGCTGGCCATTGAGAAAGTGCAAGAGAGAGAAGACAGATGCCTTCGGATTATGGATTTGGAGACGGTTACTAAGAGTAACATGGTCTGCAAGAAGCCAATCAATTGATCCTGAATGAAATAAAGACAGACTGCTCCCTTGAGGCAAAGATCAACAATCAGAAACTCACGTACATTGGGCATGTGATGCAAATGGATAATGAACTAGAAAACACATGTCTGCTTGGCAATATTGAGGAAAGCAGAAGAAGGGAAAGTTAATGTTTAAAGTGGATGGATAGGATTAAAGATATAATTGGAGTATCCTTGGAGAACTATGGATTATTCCAAGGTTGAGATGGACAGCATTTCTCCAACTGCTAAGCACAATACCTTGCTAATGAACAGAAGCTGTTTCATAAAACTCTACAACATTAAAAAAAAAAAAAGCAAAATACAGTCCAAATAATGTTTATACCATAACATGTTTGGGTCTCTGTCAGATCGCAGCACAAACATGGATGAGCTTGGTACCATTCCTACAACCTTTCACTCATAAGTAAACTAGCCAAACACAGTTTGGCGTGATGTAATATGCAAGCCCATGCTTTAGAGTTGTATACATGGGTGTTGATGGGAGTGGGGAGCGAGGGGCAAAGGAAGATGAATGGCAACACATGTGTGCTAACCGAGGTGAAATGCTCTGAAGTCTGCTACCAGTTCGCTTTGTTACCTGTCTGCTGAGCATGCGCATGCGTGGTGTGCACTAAACACGCACTTTGCGCAAATGCACACCACAGGCGCTACCGCACAGAATTGAAATAGGAGGATTAAGAAACCTTTCTAAGGTAAGTAGAACAGTGAGGGGGGGGACAGCTGTGCCACGCGATTTAGATTCACTAGAAAGCAGGATTTCCTGCTTTCTAGTGAATATAAATTGCACGGCACAGCTGATCGTCAGAAATACCAGTTCGTCCAAACCGATAGCATTTTTTAAAGGTAGCATTTTACCCCTGGTGCTGACCTAACCATGCAAATGCTGGGATTTAGGTACTTGCATCAGACATCCTGACAGAAATAGCTAATCACACTATTTACGTTATTATGTATATGTACTTGTATTATTATTTTGGAGTCATCACAATTTGTTATGGACACCACTGACCATAGACTACAGTATTCTTACTGTAGTTGACAGCAAATGTTTGTGTGTAAAGCAAGATTCTTTTTTCTTGGAAGGAAATCTGTAAGCCTGAAGGTCCCTGACATTTTCCCCCCCAGATGGTGTAAAAGAGTGATATGAAAACAGGCCAGAAAACTTGGGAGTGTTCTGGCTGAAGAAAAGTCAGTGCCAAACCAATTCTGTTTTTCCATTAGCTTCAGAAAAGCCAAAATATTTTGCTGAACACAATTCAAATTTTGAATGTAATATATTAACAAAGAAAATATATTTGGTCAAATAAGCTTAATGACAAGCATATTATTAATGTATGAAAAATGAAACATTACAGCTTTCAGCAATGTAAGCAGTGAAATTAATCACCAGGGTATGTTGGCACAATACTGGTGAAATAGATGGAGTTGTACCAATAGGGTAGCAATGCGACTGGGCAGAAAAGACTGCATTTCATCTAATACATTTTTATATCAAAACTCTTTCTTCCAAATTCTGATGTAAATCTTATATTAGAGAATTTAACCATTGAAGTAGCATCTCCCACCTCTTGACATATATCTGCAGATGTATTAAAATTGTTTACATGAAGACATTAAATTCTTGATAATGTAAAAATAAGTCAATAATATAGATTTGTATGCTTAGACATCTGGGTTTCTCATTTGTTAATGCTTATTTCCTGAACAGTATGTTCTTCTGGTACCCAATAAGGTTCTTCTGAAATTGAAGAGAATTGCAAAACTACATTGAAATTTGTTACATACTGTATGTTATTCAAAGAACAATAATTAAAAATAGTGATTTAGCTAAATCTAGTTTAAAATCAATGCTGTTCTAGTTATATTTTTAAATAAATGACATGCAATTTTAGTGGCTGCAAGTTATATGCTGGTTTGAATAGTCTGAATTTCTAGATTAATTCGTATTGAAAATCAAAATACAGTAGGCTTTATAATGACCAATGACTTTATTTTAGAATTGTGTAATATAGTGTCCATATTTTTAAAAAATAAAATTCAGAAGAAATATAATGGGTTGCAAATGGACATCTAGATGTGATCCTACACACACTGCTTTCTTGCTTAAGCAGGTGAGTTAATATTAATAATGATGTTCTTTAGTACAACTTACATTGTAAACCACCACATGTCATTCTGGTGGAATCCAAGAACTCTGACATGTTCTTAGCACCTGGACTTTCATTTTAATTAGTGTGAACCTGCTATAAAAAAAGGTTGTGTTGTTATTTATGAAACAGAAGCTCACAATTAATATTTGTCCTTTTACTTGAACAAAATCAAGTACACTTTTTAAATACTATTCTAGGGACCAATAGGAATACACCAGCAGCATTAAGAGCTGAAACAGGCACCCACTCCATCTATAGTCTAATAATAATCAGTCTTGAATTACTAGGAGGATCCTCTCAATGGAATCTGATAAGACTACAAAAATGTGCATTGAAAGATAGATTGGCACACTTCAACCTATCAAATGGATCAATTAACTTCTCCAAATCATTTCACATCATATCCTCTCAACACAACATTCATCTTCAATCAGCCATCAAGCCAAGGCTTTATTCAAACCAAGAGTTTGGGATGTTAATGACCAAACTGATACTGACTTGCAAATATCTGGTCTTGAAATGGCTAGCCAGAAATAAAAGGACCTTTCAAATAGAACAATATTTGACAATGAGTTTGACTCAATATCATAGGATAGCCCTTTGAGTAGCTAGATTCTATGGTCAAATACAGATGATACCCAGATTGTTGGGGGCAATATGCTGACTCTGTAAACCGCTTAGAGAGGGCTATAAAGCACTGGGAAGCGGTACATAAGTCTAAGCGCTATTGCTATTGCATCAACTGCTATACCTTGAGAGTGCATATTTGTGGAGCATCAGAAATAAAAAGCATTGCAGTTGTCTTATTAAACTGTCAATGATATGCCTCATCAAAGGCTCGGTACTGACAGACATTACTTGAGAAAACCATTAACAACTCTTAACAAAATATCTTATTTCTTTCGGGGCACAACTCTATCTGTATCTGTATCTGTATCTGTATCTGTATATCTATCTTTCTTTCTATCTATCTATCTAGTTGCTAAACTGTTCAGTTTATAATCAGGGCTGTCCAACAGAACACATTTTATAGAACACACTGGAGTTGCATGCAAAGGTGATTAATTTACTTAAGCGCACACAGTTTTTGAACTTTAAGATTTTATTATATTTCTTTGCATTCTATTTTATCTTATAGGTCTTTATATTTATTTATTGATTGATTGATTGAATCTATATTGCCATCTATTCGCCCATGGCGACTCAAGGCGACTTACATAATATAAAATCTCATTTAAAACAGTAAAACTAATAAAAAGAATCAAATAAACTAATATAATAAAATATATAAAATCACCCCGCACAGCAAATCATACAAGCCACTTAATGAGCTCCATCCCATTCTGGGTTCCCCAGGCCCACTGGCAGAACCAGGTCTTCAGCGCCTTCTGGAAGAGAATTAGAGTGGGGGCCGTTCTAATCTCTGGGGGAATGATGATCCAGAGAGAGGGAGCCATCACGGAGAAGGCCCTTCTTCTGGGTCCCACCAGGTGTATCTTCCTAGGGGATGGGACCCATAGCATTCCCTGCCTCCCCGCTCTGATTACTGTTTTATTTATTTTACCTTAACTATTATATTTTAGTCTATTTTATCTCACCATAGTTTATTTTATCGCATTTCACTGTATCTTACCTTATCTCATGTTATTGTATCTTACTGTCGCTGATGTTCATGTTTTAATACACTCAACTGACTAATCAATAAAGTATACTATGCTACTATACAGTGAATATTTGTCAATGGGATTTAAGCAATGTTCTGTGATTGACCTTTTGACAATTGAAAGGGTCCCAACACTTGAAATTCACTGCTAAATGCAAGTTGTTTATGGTGCTGATTATGTTGATATGAGTACTGTATCCCTGGGTCAAAAAATATAAAGATGGTAAATCAGATATGAGATCAAGAAAAGTGGACAAGCTGTGATAGCATCCTACATGTTTCACATGAGAAAGTTGATGAACTGGTTAAAGACAATTGGCAGATCACTCAAAAGGAATTTGCTGTCAAGCTTGGTATTTCATAAGAAAGGGGAGGGGTCGTATTATTGATATTCTTCAATATGGACAAGATGGGTTCTTCTCATGCTAACAGCAGAAATGAAGAGTTGAAATTGCCCTAATTAGCTTGTTTCTTTGTATCAGCTCCTTTTTGGATTGTTTATATTTCCTTGCTAGGATGAGTAATATGTACAACTTTTACTAGGTTGGCAAATTAAATGTAATGGGGGAAAAAAGAGGTGAAATTTGCAAGCAATTATTGTCACACTATGAAAATAAAGGTGAGGCATTTGTTCACATCATTGTGACAGCCAGTGAAACGGGCTCATCATTGTGATCCAGAAAATGCATGGAATAGCATCACAAAGCTTCACCTGTAAAAATAAAAAAATAAAATCCCATGCTTCAGTAAGAAAACTCACAGCTACAGTTTTTTAAGATGCACATCGTGTTATTCACATAGATTTCATAGCACCTGGTACCAGGGGTGGGTTCTAAATTTTTTTACTACCGGTTCTGTGGGCGTGGCTTACTTTGTGGGTGTGGCTTGGAGGTCATGTGACTAGGTGGGTGTGGCTAGCTGGTCAGAGTCATTTCTGGAAGGTCCTCGCACTTACGATCAGTCCTCGCACTTACGACCTGACTCATTTGTTTGCTTTTAACACTGATCAGCTGTAGGACGGCTCTTTGAAGCCCCGCGGCAAGAGTTTAAAGTTTTTTTTCCCTCTAGTCATCAGCTGGGACTCAGGACGCAGCAATAGACTGGGGGTGGGACCAAATAAAAGGTAAGAATAATGTGGGGGGGTGGGGGGTGGGAGGATGGGGGGGAGAACTGGCTCGGTGACGTCATATCGTCACCGCTACCGGCTCAGCCGAACCGGACCGAACCGGGAGGAACCTACCACTGCCTGGTACCACTATTACCTCAGAGTGCTACACTGCAATACTCAAATATTTTAAACATTTATTAAACAGAGCATGGAAAACAAGAAGGAAAATCATCTTCAACATAACAGTGCTAGGCTTCACATTTCATGAGCCACCCAGGAGGTAATTGTAAAGTTGGATCTTACTGTCTTACTCCATCCGTCATATAGTCCAGATTTGGTGCCATGAAACTTCTACCTTCTCCCAAAATCGAAAGAATATCTTTGTGGGCATCAGTTTGACTCAAATGAACAGGTGGAAAAGCCTTAGTTGGAGACACAAAGTGTAAAGTTCTTTTGCAACAGTTTTAAGAAGCTTGTCCATTGTTGACACATGTAGTAGATGATAGTGATTAGTTGGAGAAGTAAATAAAAGTAACGAAAGAGCTAATTTGAACGATTATTTTTCCATCTTATTTATTAAAATTGAAGTTATTCAGCACATCATATTTTCTCTGGGAAACTTTACTTCTCAAAGCCGTTTTGAAGCTAAAATGCTGTCCTGAATTTCTTAATGAGATGCTGATGCAGATATTAATATATTCACCCAGATCAAAGAAAGAGGGAACTCCTCAAAGTTGTCAGTTACTAGCAACAATTTAAAAGAGATTTTATAATTTATGGACTGTTTTTGGAGTTTTTCGAACCAGCTGAGGCTTATATTCCAACTTTTTCTTTTCTGAAGAACTGAGAACTGCATTTCTGAAGAATGTTTATTATATTATCTTTGTTTTCTGGAAGACACTCTATGTAGGGTTAGCTTAGAAAGCAATTTAGAAAATAGAATTAATGCAGAATATAGAATTCATTTTAATAGAAACAGCACTTAGACTTATATACCGCTTCATAGTGCTTTACAGCCCTCTCTAAGCGGTTTACAGAGTCAGCATATTGTCCCAACAAACTGGGTCTTAATTTTATCGACCTCGGAAGGATGGAAGACTGAGTCTACCTTGAGCCGGTAAGAATCGAACTATCGAACTGTAGGCAGCCGGCAGTCAACAGAATTAGCCTACAGTACTGCATTCTAACCACTGCACCATGGCTCATCATGGGCATAAGGAGTTTGTAAATCCCTTATTGAAAGAACTGCACTGGATTGCAGTTTGTTTCCAGATACATCTACCGTATTTCCCCGAAAATAAGACCCTGTCTTATATTTTTTTTGAACCTTGAAATAAGCGCTTGGCCGTATTGCCATGCGCTCAAAAGCCCAGTTGGGCTTATTATCAGGGGATGTCTTATTTTGGGGGAAACAGGGTAAAAGAGTTAGAAATGTTTACTAGTGACAAGTTGAGATGGCAAACGTTTATTCTTCAGTAACATGAGGCTGCCTGATGGCATCTTAATAAGTAATGCTTTAAAATACTAGTGATGAAACACTATAGCTTTGAATAATTCAGGAAAAGGATATTTAGAGGACTCCTTTGCCTAGAAAAAACTGTCCATTTTTAACATTGTTATTGTTATTTTGTTATGAGCTACCTATATAAATGTTTTATATAAACTTGAAAAATCATGAAGTAGAACTTTTAAAAAGGAGAATCTGATGTCTGCTTAATTAATCACTTAATGCTCTATCTTCCTCTCTGCTAACCTGCAGTTAAAAATGCTAAGTATGAACGAATTGGAATCTCATTTGCTTTTCTCATTCATGCCAAGTCAGCATTGCTATTCTGAAAAACAAAACAACTCAGGACTCTACTTGCTTGCAAATTTCTTCACCATTTCACCACTGCAAAAGACCAAACCTGTTCTGGAATCTGTGCTAAGGACCTGTTGAGGGATGCTTGAACAAAAGTTTTCACATAATAGTTCTCTTGAACAGCTATTGATAAACTACACCAGTATTTCACAAACTTGGCCACTTTAAGATGTGCAGACTTCAACTCCCAGAATTCCTCACCTAGTATGGCTCTTAAAGTTAAACACATCTTAAAATGGCCAACGTTGAGAAACTAGACTGCTGCTTCTTAAAAAAATTACCTGGCCAGGCTAGGTCTTATTAACAACATTTGCGTAGACTATGCTTCACTGTTATGTTTGTTCTGGTTATCTGTACTATGCCTATTAATGGCAAGTAGAATATGCATGGAGATAAAAACATCTCCGTGCTTCATTATTGTAAATTATTGTATATTTTTCCAGTTATTGAAAAGTCAGTTTCTTTCAATGCCCTTTCCCACAACCCTCATTGTTTGAGAGGCAAATATTTAAAATACAGGTATTTCAATAAATAGTTTAAATTAATACTTAAGTAACAGACTTGCTGTATATAGGACCAAGTTATACTTACCAAAATAATGTTCTATCGCTGTTCATCATCATTCTACATCCTTTAAATGCTCACTTTAGCTCTTTTTAAAAGACTTTGATAGTTAAAGGTCATTGTTTTAGCTTTAGAAAAGCACTCCAGGCAATCATTTCCAAAGAGTTATGTGCACCTATCAATTCTATTCATGCTAAAGATTTAGCTTTTTAGTGCTTCTTACAATGGGCAAAAGCCAAAAAAGACTGCAAATAAGGACATTTTGCCTAATGTTTTGCAGTGCCTAAGGAACACCATATCCCCTGAGATCTTCGCTGACCTTTTATAAAGATCTGGCTCTTTCCTCAGAAATTGGGCGTTGACTTACCTGAACGCTTCTTCTCGTTGTTCCGGCTACAGTGGTCAGGATTGGATTGGGTAACGCCATGATCCAGTTATTGATTGAGTCTGCATAGCTGAGAAGCTCCTCCCCTTTGATCTGCTTCCCAGCTTTCTGATGAAAGACGACGACGCAGACAGGCACTTTGAGCTGTAAAACAAGGAAAGAGACAGATCCACAGAAAACTTCCCACCTACGAGGGCCCAGACAGGGAGGGGCTGACCACTGTAGCCGGAACAACGAGAAGAAGCGTTCAGGTAAGTCAACGCCCATTCTCGTTGATCCCGGCTCCAGTGGTCAGGATTGGGACATGCCCAAGCAGAACCCTATAGGGAGGGACTAGCCCGAGCAGGTGGGGAAGGAACCTGGAGCACCTGTTGGAGCACCCTACGACCGAAGGCCGCCTCGGCCGAGGCGAACCGATCGAGACGATAGTGTCTGATGAAGGGAGTGGGGGAAGTCCAGGCGGCAGCCCTGCAGACTTCCTCTAAGGATGCCTGGGTGGCCCACGCCGCTGAAGTGGCAGCGCTACGCGTGGAATGGGCTGTAATGTGCCGAGGCACCGGAAGGGAGAGGACTTCATACGCCTTGGCGATGGTAGCCCGAATCCAACGGCCCAGAGTGGCCGATGAAACTTTCCTGCCGAGGGAAGAAGGTTGAAATGAGACCAGGAGAGATTCCGACTGGCGTAGGGAGGAGGTCCATCGCAGGTAGATGCGAAGGGCCCGCCTGACGTCCAGGGTATGCCACGCTCTTTCTCGGGCGTGGACGGGATTGGGGCAGAAGTCAGGGAGCACTAATTCCAAGGACCTATGGTAAGGAGAATTGATCTTGGGAAGAAAGGTGGGGTCCAATCTGAGGACCACCCTGTCGGGGTGAAATATACATAAGTCCTCCCGAGCTGAAAGGGCCGCCAAATCGGAGATCCTCCTGGCCGAAGTAATGGCCAGGAGGAAGGCTACCTTATAAGAGAGAAAACGAAGCCCAACTTCCCTTAGGGGCTCAAATGGAGCTCTGGTAAGAGCCTCTAGGACCCGGGGAAGATCCCAGGTAGGATATCTATGAAGAGGGGCCGGGCGAATGTTGGAGGCCCCCCTGAGGAACTGCCTAACTAGAGGGCGGGAGGATAGGGAGGTCCGGGAGCCGCAGCAAAGGATAGAGGAGAGAGCGGCTACTTGCCTGCGGAGTGTGTTGGGTGCCAAACCTGAGTCAAGACGATCCTGCAGATAGATGAGCACCTGCTCCGTAGAGGCTGCCGTAGAAATGATGGAGTGGCTGTCGCACCAAGATGAAAAGGTCCTCCAGGTGGAGTCGTATATGCGAGTAGTCAAGGGTCTACGGGCTGCCTGGATGGTGGCGACGACTCTGGGAGGAAGACGCCGGGAGCTCAGCAGACGCCGCTCAATCGCCAGGCGGTTAGCTGCAGCCATGCTGCGTCCGGATGAAGAAGTGAACCCTGGCGAAGGATGACTTTGTCCGGGGGAAGGCGCCAGGGAGGCCGAACCGAGAGAGCCTTCAGGTCCGCGAACCAAGGCCTGCGAGGCCAATGGGGGGCGATTAGCAGCAGCTCTGCCTTCTCTTGTAACATCTTCCTGATGACCTTGGCCACGATGGGAAGAGGAGGGAAGGCGTATAGAAGGCCGGGAGGCCAGACGCTGTGTAGAGCATCCACGGCCTCCGCTCCTGGTTCCGGAAACCGTGCGAAGAACCTCTGGGTCTGTCGATTGCTCCGTGTGGCGAAGAGGTCCAGGACTGGAACTCCCATGCGAGATGTGATCTCCCGAAAGAGAGCAGGTTCCAGGGTCCACTCCCCGGGGTCCACCGTGGTCCTGCTCAACCAATCCGCCTGAGAGTTCTCCACCCCCGAGATGTGAGTTGCCCTCAATGACCTTAGGTGCAACTCCGCCCAGGAGCCCAGTCTCTCGGCTTCCTCCATGAGATGCCGAGAGCGGGTCCCTCCCAAGCGGTTCACATGGGCCTTGGCGGCCACGTTGTCCGTTCTGACCAGGACATGCTTGTCCTGAACCTCGGGGGCAAAGACTCGTAGGGCCAGGTGGATGGCCCGGAGTTCCAGCCAGTTTATGTTGTGCTTTAAATCCGCCTGGGTCCATCGACCCTGGGCGAGGGAGGAGGATAGGTGGGCCCCCCAGCCGTGAAGGCTGGCATCTGTAGTCAGTATAAGACACTGAGGAACCCTGAACTCCCGCCCCTGGAGAAGAGCTCCCGAGGACCACCAATCGAGGGACTGGAGCACCTTGGGAGGAAGATGGACCCGCCGGAGGGAGGACCCCATCCCCCGTTTCTGGTAAGGTAGGAGGAACCACTGCAGATCCCTGCAGTGAAGACGTGCCCAGGGAACTATGCCGATGCAAGAGACCATCTTTCCCAGGAGTTGGGAGAGCGAAGCCAGGGAAGAGCCCCTCCCTGCCTTCACTGTCCTGACCAGAGACCGCAGGCTGGCCAGGCGATCCTGGGAAAGGTAGACCTTGCATAGACTCGTGTCGATGATCGCCCCCAGGTGTTGGAGACGCGTGGCCGGGACCAGATGGCTCTTGGTCCGATTGATAGAGAATCCGTGGGATTCCAGGACTCTGAGAGTCGTTGAGAGATCTTGAAGGGCCTGACTCTCCAAGACTGACTGGACCAGAAGGTCGTCCAGGTAGAACTGCATCCGGATGGGGATGGACCTGAGGAGGGCCGCGATGGCGGCCATCAATTTTGTGAATACCCTGGGGGCCGATGAGAGGCCGAATGGAAGAGCCCTGTACTGATAATGCTGGCTCAGGAAACAGAAGCGGAGAAACCTGCGGTGGGCGGGGAGGATGGGTACATGGAGGTATGCCTCCGTCAGGTCGATTGACGAGAGGTAGTCTCCAAGTCTGATGCCCTCCAAGATGGTCTGGAGGGACTGCATCTTGAACCGCCGGTACACTATCCGGCGGTTCAGGGATTTGAGATCTAGTATCGCTCGCCATCCCCCTGAAGACTTCCGGATAATGAACAAGCGTGAATAGAAGCCTTGTCCGAGCTGCTCCTGGGGCACCGGCTCGATGGCTCGGATGACCAACAAGTGACAAATGGCTGATGCCACCAGGAGCCGGGAGGATCTGTTCCGGGAGACGGGACAGCGAAGAAATCTCTCTGGGGGGGTGGAGAGGAATTCGAGAGAGAGGCCAGAGCTGATGGTCTCCCTGACCCAGGTGTCCGACGAGGTAGCTGCCCACTGGCTGGCGAAGGAAGCCAGGCGGCCTCCAATGGGAAGCTGGGCCAAGCCGTCAGCGTGATCTACGGAACGCCCGCCCCCTGCTCCCTCGAAAGGGCCGTCTGGACTGACCTCTAGGGGGAGGACCTTGGCGGTCCTGGGGTCTAAATTGCCTAGGTGGGGGGAACCGTTGGCGACGGCTCCCAGAGAAACCCCCATCTGAAGGCCTGAAAGGGCGGAAATTAGATTGAGACCTGAAGTCGGAACGCCGAGACAAGCTGGGTAGAATACGGCGTTTGTCCTTGGACTCTATGAGGAGAGGCTCCAGAGGGGCTCCAAAGAGCTTGGGCCCTTCGAAGGGGGAAGATGCTAGACGCCATTTAGATTTGGCGTCGGCTTGCCATTGGCGAAGCCAGAGTAGACGCCGGGCAGCTATGGAAGAGCCAATGGCCTTAGCAGCGAAGCGGGAAGAATTTAAAGTTGCATCCGCTGAAAAATCTAGGGCTGCAATGATTTTGCTTATGTCCTGCTGGGCCCTTAAATCGGAGACAGGGAGCCTGGCCTGGAGTTGGCGGAGCCACAAAATTGAGGCCCGGTTAAAAAAGGAGGCGGCCAAGGAGGCCTTGACTGACCAGGCAGTGGCCTGGTGAGATCTAACAAGGGAATGTTCCAGGCGCCTATCTTCCGGGCGTAGGCCTTCCTCAGGTGGCCCTGTCAAATTAGTGGGGGCAGATAGTTCTGCCACAGGCTGGTCCACAGAAGGGACCTGCAGGAGAGAAGATAATTCAGGAGCCAAATTATATAAACGTCTGTCTAAGACATTGGGACTGGGGCCAGACGCCGGAGCCGCCCATTGGCGTTGTAAAACATCCCGAAAAATCTTGGGGCCCGGGATTTCTTCAGATTCAATGGTAGGTACTTCAAAGAGGGGTATAGATGAGGATGGACCCTCCCCCGTGTTGACAGATGAGGCCTGAGAAGAGCCCAAACCAGTAATGGCCTTGGCCTTGTGGAGTAGGGAACGAAAGAGCTGGGGCTTAAAGAGCCCCACAAATGCTGGTTGGTCGGGGCCTAAGTCTTCGTCCTCAGACAAATCCTGATCCATAGGATCAGGGGCGGATATGGATTCCTTATCAGAATGATCAGTGGACTTGGCCTGGGCAGGGGACTCAGGACCCTGAGGGGCTGCCTCTGCTACAGAGAGAATAGAGCCCTCAACATCCACCTGTGAAAAAGAATGGCTGGACACCCATGAAGAGGTCCTCTGCATTTCTTCCCTAACACCCATCCTAATGGCCTCTCGGATAAAGGAAGCCAGGTTTGGAGCTATTTGGGGCTCAGGGGCCGGGGCAGGGGGAGTCAAGGCTGTGGAAACCTGTACAGGAATCCCCTGGGGCTGCGAAGGGGCAGAAGAAACCTCAGGTTGGGGCCCAAATAAGGCTGCGTTAACTTCCTTCAACCCTTCAGGCAAGGGAGAGTCCCTATCTGGTGATAAGGCAGGGGAGAGAGCCTGCCCTGGGTTATCTACCCCCTGCGGCTGGGCAGGGGAAGCAGCAGGTTCTGGGCCTGTGGGAGGAGGTACAGTGCTAGCTGAAGGTGTCACCACCCTAGAGGGATGGGGGCTAAGAGATACTTTCTCCTGTAAGGAAGCTGCTTGAATGGCCTTCTGGATGGCCTTTTCAATAGCCTTGTGGCGCTTGAACTCTTCCTTTGACATAGCTGCAGATTGGGAGGGCTTGGGCCCCTTGGAAGTATGGTGGGTCTTCCTGCTTCTCTTGGCAGGCACCGGGTCAGAGGAGCTGAATTCCTCCTGTTGTGGGGGGTGCTTGGATGTTCTGGCAGGCCTTTGGGAAGCCATCTGAAGGGCCTGTAAATCCTTTTATTAGAAGAATAGGCCTCCAATAGTGCTGTAATAAAGGGCAAGGTAGAGAATTAAGGCAGGCCTGAAGTTCTGGTTAGGCCTCTAATGCCATGAGGCTGTCCCAAAATGGCCACCGGAATTCTAAAATGGCCACCGGAACTTAATTTGGCCCCAGGAGAAACAAAAAATGTTTAAAAAGGGGAACAAACTCCCCCCCCTTTACTTACAAGCAATTCCAGGAGCCTGGGAGAAGATCAGGCTATCTGATCCACCCACGGAGCAAGGGCTGTGGATTCAAGCCGCTCCGCCGCTGCGCTGTCCCAAACGAGCCGAAGGAAGGCTCCGATGTCAATCCAGCACTCTGCAAGCTCGTTGTTTTCTGAGGCTTTACCAGCAGCAGCGGTATTACAGCTATCTGATCCCCGATAGCTATCAGAGATACCTCAGCCTGGCCAGGCAAGAGGTTCCAGCCACGAAGGCTGCAGCGGTAGAGGGAATAGGCCTCCACGCAGAAGTGAGGACCAGGCTCAACCAGCCGGGAACCAGCAGTCCTCACAGCCAAAAGAATTTTCTTTTGGCTTCCAGCAGTCTCGGGTGCGAACCCCTTCGCGCTGGGAGCTCAACCAAGAGGTCTGGGAGCTAGAAATAAACTGGAGGCAAAAGGGAAATTTTTGCCAGAGCAAGGCTCAAACGTGCCTTTCTCAACCGGATTGAGTCAGAAAGCTGGGAAGCAGATCAAAGGGGAGGAGCTTCTCAGCTATGCAGACTCAATCAATAACTGGATCATGGCGTTACCCAATCCAATCCTGACCACTGGAGCCGGGATCAACGAGAATAGGCATGAGTATTGTGGTAGTATCACTGCTTGTTGGGTTTTGTTCTATGCATATGGATTTATTAATTTTTAGTTATTTTAAATCATTACTTCATTTATGGTATTGATGCTCGTCTCCCAGAATTGGGAGGCCAATTGTGAGGTCGAGTAGCTATGTAAATCCATTTAATAATTTTTTTCACATTGTCAAAAGCAGATTTTTAAACAAAATCTATTATTGGTAATTCTGTACCAGCTATTCAAAACCTCAGGACATGATAATTCGGTTTGAAAGACTTATTGGACTTCTGTGGATGTTTTAAGCCTGACAAAGGCTAACACATTTTTTAGTTGTGTTCTGTTGAAATTTATTTTAGTGGTTACTAATGAAACAGATCGGGAAAATTGGAGGGACATTAGTCCCATAAAGGACTAATCCTAAATCCCATCCACAAAAGAAGAGGGGAGGGGGTCACAAAAGTTTTATGTGCAATTTATGTTTTTAAAAAAGATGGAGCTTCAATTGCATAGTTGTAAGTGCCATCTTCATTTTATGTGAATGCCTCTAAAAGTTTCTGTTCTATATTCTACTTTTAAAAGGTTTCAGTATAATCTTTCTACTATTAACAGCTTTACCTTTAAAATCCTATCTTTTACCTTATCTGTAGGTTTTTCAAAGATTTCTCTGACTTTTTTAAGGACATCTCTTATATGTTATTTTATTCTATTTGTGATTTAACAGATTTAACAGAATGACAGAGTTGGAGTGACCTTATAGGTTTGTTGAAATCCTTGATTATCTTTCCTTGATGTTTCTTGTTTAATATTGATACTCTCTGTTAAGTCACTGTACATCATTGTACATGTTCTTGTTGCCCAAAGCTTTCATTCCTCGCCTTTCCCTGGCTATTATAGCTTGTTCTGATTTTTTTCTTTATTGCTTTGGTTTTCTTCCCACCACCACTCCACACCATTCCTCCAGTTTCATAGTCACAGCCTACATCTTAACTTTTTTTTTTTTACTTTGCTCCACTTGAATCAGTGCATTGCACTACATTTCCATGAGATTTATACAATATAAATAAAGATTTATACAATTAACTTCGCAATATATCAGTTTGTAAAAATATCCTTCTGTGTGGATTGCTTCTTATTTTGCTGGACTTCCTGAAAGACTTATCCCAAGCTGCCTTTCGCTCTGCAATGTACTTTCCATGCACAATGAATGATTGTTAATTGAAGTCTCATTCTCACATTACATAACAGTAATAATGAAGAGCTACCATATCACAAACATTTTGGAGGTTCTTGAGAACTGCAAAGAACGTGGTCAGTGAGGCCACCATTTGGGCTAATGATGTTTATGCAGTACAGGAGTGGTTTGGGTTAGAGAGCAGTTTATTTTCACAAACAGAAAATTGCCTGGCCCCAAATTTGCAAATTTGCTACTAATTATCAGCAGTCTGACCTGGAGATGTTCTGGGAGTTCCAGAAATTGGTTCGAGGCCTTAAAGGGCCCATAGGCTCCTGGTCTCTGATCGTACTTTAATCAATCAACAGATGGAAGCATGGAAAGCAGATGCAAGGCCAGCCAAAAAAGCAGCATGTAGTACATTTAGTCTCCCTTGTTTAAAACTAAGAAAGACTTAAGTTTCACATACTGATTCAAAACAAGCAGCCAAATAAACAGATTTCTATTAATTTCTTACTCACTAAATGCAGCATTAGTTTCTGAACTTTGCAAGAGGAACATTAATCCGAGTGGCCTGAATGGAGACAATACTTCAATCATGCATATCTGAAATCAGCTGCCCCATTTCTGCCTTTTTAGCAGTAAAAGAAAATGCTCTTCCTTCCATAGGCAATATGATCCTAACTTCTATATGTGGCCAAAAAAGGAGGAAACATTTTGCTGGGTATTGAAACTTTGCATTCAAGCATGGTATCTGTCAAGCCTACACAGATGGCTGATGATATTAAGAGAATTTTACCTTGTTTTGTTCAAGACACAAGCACAAAGTTTAAGATAAATAAGAATCTAATGGTTGTATTAAATTAATTATTTAACAACCAAGAATTAATGTTTCAAGGCAAATAGGGATAAAAAAGTTTTCCATTTACCAAGGGGAATCTGTGTATTTTGCAAAGAAAGGAAACAATTCTGAGTCGAAATGTTGGATTTTATCATTCCCAAATGGAAGACTAACCATTGTTTTGTAGAATCATAGAGACAGAAGGGACCCTTTCAGTCATCAATTTCAATCCCCTATTCAGTGCACAAGTCCAAATTAAATCATCCCCCACAGATGGCTGCCCAGCCTCTGCTTCGATACATCTAGCGCAGAAAAGTCCACCACCTCTCTGCATAATTGACTCCTGTTTTATACTCTTCATCTTTCTTAACACTGAATCAGAATTGCCTCCTTGTAATTCTGAGGATTGTTCCGTGTTTTAATTTTTGGTTGTCTTCCGTGTTACGATTCTTCAGATACCTGAACAAAGCTGTCTGCAATAGGGGAGCCAAATGGTTGCATTGGACCCCTTGATCCCCTTTTGTGGACAACTCTAGATGGAACACTATCATGTAAGCCACTAGTCTTTTCCTCTCAAGCTACATCATACTAAATCTTTCAATCCCTTTTTCTAGAATTTAATTTCTAGTTCTCTAATCATGCTTTCTCTGCTTTCTCTACATACTGCAGTTTGCTGAAAATGGAACATGATATTAAAGGTAGAGAATCTGATAAATGCAGAACAGAGTATGATTATTTAAATGATTATTTTCCATAATTTGGAAATCATACTAATATTACTACTAGTTTCTTTTTCAATTAATCTCTTTAAAAAATAGGACAATTTAATACTATTTCTGTATTGGATAGAAAATAATTCGCAATTCTGCAGATCCTCCTAACGCTCTGAGATTGTATCTTGAGGCAATAATGGCTTAAGACAGTGGTTCTCAACCTGTTGTCTGTGGACCCCTTGGGGCCTACGATGTCATCATAGGGGGTCCACGAAGGCTTGAAGAAATGTTATGATTTAAATCTTGAGTTAAGTCTTGGTGGTCCGTGGCTATGATCCATGGCCCCAAAAGGTACTTAAGGGGGGAGGGGGTTCATGGTGAAGAAAACGTTGAGATCCACCGCCCTAAGACTTTCCCCTTCCATCTTCTCTCTTTTTATTGGTTTTTAAGTATCCTGCCAAAGGAAGAATTTCAAGAAATCAGAATACTTGCAGCTCATTTGTAAATCTTCTGTCAGGCCAATTTCAATATAGATTTTTTTATTTAGATGGTGAACTATTTAAGAAAACTGAATTGATTTTGTTTTCCTCATCTGAATAGGCAAATATCAGACAGAGTCAGCACAGACACAGCCAGCTTGATGCCAACTCAGCTTGGTGATGATCATTTTCACTACATAATTGGACTGATAGATTACTACAATTTTGCTACAACATAATCATATACTAAAAGTGTGTGTGGGGAGGGGGGGTGTCTGTCTAATCCTTTTATTTAGTCAAGCTCAGAACAGCCCATCAGTTTTGTCACTGATATCATTTATATAACACTAGGGTAAGCTTTTCAAAGAAGGCAGCCTATGGAGAAAATGCAGTATAGCGAGAAACAGATCTGGCTATTACACAAGCCAGTATGACATCAAGCCAGAAACGAATCATGAGGATTCCCAGTGCTTCCAAAACTTCTCAGTAAAACATTTGGCAAACATACCTTTCAGAACTAAAGGGATTATCTTTTAATGTATATGAGAATTGATCTTCAAAGCCAAAAAATATTGTGGCTGTTATCATCTTTACTGAGCTATAATTCTGTTAGCTGCCCAGAATCACTGTTGCAAGATGGGTGGATAGAATAGAATAGAATAGAATAGAATAGAATAGAATAGAATAGAATAGAATTCTTTATTGGCCAAGTGTGACTGGACACACAAGGAATTTGTCTTGGTGCATATGCTGTCAGTGTACATAAAAGAAAAGATAAATTCATCAAGAATCATAAGGTATAACATTTAATGATAGTCATAGGGTACAAATAAGCAATAGAATCATATTAGGAAACAGTCAATGTAAATCGTAAGGATACAAGCAACAAGGTTACAGCCATACAGTCATAAGTGGGAGGAAATGGGTGATAGGAACGATGAGAAGTTTATAGTAGTGCAGACTTAGTAAATAGTTTGACAGTGTTGAGGGAATTATTCTATATAACTATATAAATTCATCAGAATAAATAACATGAATTCATTATGCAAAATAGATATAATTGTGTTTCCTATTGAATTTACTTGAAAACAAACTTTTCAAAAATTGACTGAATGCGATTTCTATTAACTTAAAAGAAATGTTAGAAAGTAGTACCTTACAGAAAGACTAGTGGAAGCTTTGAACCAACTTCCAGTGGAGGTCAGTGGATTAATCATCAGTAACTGAATTTAAATATGGTTGGAATAAACACATATCCATTATCTGACAAAAATTAAAAATAAATTAATAAAATATAACAATAATAAATAAAAATAATAAATAAACTTAAAAAGAAAACAAAAAAACAAACTCAAAGGGCAGTTTCTATGGAACACTAGGTCTTTTTCTGTTGTCAGTTTTCTATATTTCTGTGTAAACCCTCAATCAGATATCTTAGTGTTAAACCTGCAAAATTTCACAGCCTGGTTCATACAATATTATTCTAAGACACAATTTGTCATGTACTGCCAA